TATATATACACATATATATATATATACATATATATACGTACATATATATTATACGTCTTAAAATAAATAATATCTGAAACGTTATTACTTGTTTTATTTGTTAGGTACTTCTTCGCGACTCACTGAAATTTTTCGTGGCCTGAATTTGGGTTGTGACCCACAGTTTTGGAAGCCCTGAAATGTGAACTGACATCAAATTGGTGTCAAAATATTGTGGCTCAAATCTGATTTTGAGTTCGCCGTCACGATTGAAGTATGATAATGGTTTGTTTCTTATGGATGGGTCCGGGTGAGATCATCAAGTTTGGTTTCACACGGAAGCGGTTCTAGAATTTTTTTTCCTACTCTTTTCATTCATTTCAAGAAGCGCTCAAACGTTCGCTTGCACGTCTAAGTTTGCCGACAAACGTTCACTGACAAGATGAAAGCCTGTGAAAATATTGGGGGCTTGTTTCTCATGAACCATCAGCCCGTTCGGTGATGGTATATAAAAATTAAGGGCCTGAAAATTTTATCATTTCCATTCGTTCATCATGGAGTTTGTCTCAACTGAACGAGGCACCGCAGGCTTCTTTATGAAGGATATGCATACATCCTTGATAAGCAGAGAGATGCAACCAGTTATTGGAGATGCGAGAAAAGGGGTGAATGTAAGGTTAGATTAACAACAGAGTACGACCACTAGAAAAATCCGCTTTCTGAGCATAGTCACCCACGAGATCCAATACGAATGGATGTCACAAGGACTGTGTCCGAAATCAAATACATACACTGTACATGCATTTCAAAAAACAAAATTAATTGAAAACAAGCTTGGTAGTTTTGGTGACTTAATGCCAGTTAAATACACTCCATAATACAGATTGATGTTACAATGACCTTATTTATTGTTTTATATTACGAATTCACAAAATTTACAGTGTTCATTTTGAAAAGAAGCCTACTACCTACTACATTATTCTGCAAAAGTAGCCTTGAAATGAAGCTCATATCGAAAAAAGAAGCCCATCCGAAGTTGGCAAAAAAACAAAATCCAGGGCTTCAATTCAAGTTTTTGCGGTATTAGCAAACGTAGGCCTACAAGTAATAGTAGTTAAACATTCTATGCTTTAACAGTAGAACTTTATCAGCTGGGGCGAATGCAGGATTTGGTCGTAGGGGGTACGTGAGAATCCATACGAGCTCAGGCCCATCATTCATGGGGCGGAGGTGCGAACATTTGAGCATATTGACGTCTATGTTCCCGGAAATTGCAGTCTCATACCTTTAAAAATTTACAGGTACTATGAGGGGGTAGGGGGGGCGATCGCATCATTGCAGCCCTGCATCGGCCCCAGATTATTACGGCCCTTTCATTATTATAAAGAATAGTAATACGTTACTAGAATAGAATAATTAATTTTACGATTTGAACAGTGGCCTACTAATTCTTCTTATCAAGAACTTTTAGCTCTATCACAGTATGGAAGTTTCAAATTTAATGCTCAAAACAAAATTTTACATTTGAGATCTGTAAGCTGTGCACAATATTCGGTACTAGAAAGGTTTTGGACACATAACCGAAAAATAAATTATCCATCCATTAACATCAACATCCATAAAAAAATGTTGGCGAATTCGCTGTCGGCAAAATTGGCTGTCGACGAACCACCCTGTCGGCAAATTGGCTGTCGACGAACCACCCTGTCGGCAAACTTACATTCGGCGAAATGTGGTGTAGGCAAAATCTCGTGTGGGCGAATGATGTTTCGGGCGATTCTATAGGCCAAATGTCTGTTGGTGAAACATCAGGTCACGAAAATTAATCATTCATCCATTAACATGTTCACAAGAATTTCGGCGAATTGTCTGTCGGCAAATTGGCTGTCGGCAAAACCTCCTGTCGGCAAACCACCATTCGGCGAAATGGTTTTTCGGTCGATAGTCTGTAGGCCGAATGTCTGTCGACCAAATGTATGTCAGTAAAACATCTGGCCACGACAAAATGTCGGCGAATTGTCTGTCGGCAAATTGGTTGTCGGCAAATTGGCTGTCGGCAAATTGTCCTTCGGCAAATTGACCGTCGACGATTCGTCCTGTCGGCAAACTGACATTCGGCGAAATGGTTTTTCGGTCGATAGTCTGTAGGCCAAATGTCTGTCGGTGAAACGTCCGGCCACGACAAAATGTTGGCGAATTGTCTGTCGGCAAATTGTCTGTCGGCGAATTGTCTGTCAGCAAATTGTCTGTCGGTGAACAGACATAAGGCGAAGTTGATTTTCGGTCGATAGTCTGTAGGCCAAATGTCCGTCGGCCAAATGTCTGTCGGTGAAACGTCCGGCCACGCTTTCTTCCCCTCTTCTTTATCTCCAGATTATTTTCTAAACGACATAACGTCTACGGTAATATCATCAACTGCAAGGCTTAATCCCTCTCTTATACACATCTAGATGTGTATAAGAGACAGCTTTCTTGGTCAAATCACGCAGTGATTAGGGGTTACCCGTCGTGAGAGCAAATGAATTTAAGCGTTGACTGGCCTGCCTACCTTGAATATAGAAAACCGTTTGTTGTATTCACTGGAACCAATTTCATAGGTCCTGTTGTATTTTACGATGAAGCTTTTGAAGTTTTCAAAATCTGTAAAAGCAAACGTTTGATATGAACATATTAGAATATACAAAAGAGTTAACATTGCCCGTAACATTGTTGTTGGACACCCTCGCTTTGTTTTTGTTGCTCAAGGAAGTTTGCGGAAAAAAGAAAATTCCCCCGATGACGCGAATTGATATCATAAACCGTTGAGGGCGCATATCTTCGTACGATACAAGATCTTTAATATGATACAAAGAAAGTAGTACTGATACAAAATAACATTATTTTCCAATACTAAAAATTGAAATTTGCGACTTACGAAAATTGCGAATTTTGCCACAATTTATAATGAGGTCATGCAATTTGTCAAGCATGTATTATCTTCCATAACAGGCTTAATATCATATTACTTGTGTTTTCGATAACATAACACAACAATGACAATGGATAGGCCATGGACCTATCCATAGGCCGACTACGTTACCACTGCTGAGGGGTGGCGCCAGCGGAAGGCTCTCCTCCCCCGTCTGGGAGAGCCCCCCCCCCCCGTCGGGAGAAAAAGCACAATTCGTCGGGCAGAAAAAAAATTTATGTATTTTTAACTATTGTAGACTCTAAAATCGATTAAATAAGCCTTTGAAACCCCTAAATTGTCAAAATTTTTGCGGGCTTCGCCCTCAGGTCCACTTTCGAAACCTTTCAATCGAAGCTCGACCACGTCCATTTTGCTTTCGTCGGTGAAATTGGGTAAATCCTGGCGCCACCCCTGCCACTGCTTTCAAATTTGAGCTATTACCGGTATTTTTTTTTTATTCAATTCATCAACAGTACATTATACAATAAAGTATGGAACATTACAAAAACATTTTTGAAATTAAAAGAAGTCTACCACAGATGTTCCAATCTGCCCTTATAAGAAATAATCAATAATGTTTATTTTATTTTAAATGTGTAATTATATTTTTTCTTAAACACCTCAAACGAGACCAATCATATTTACTACGGTAGATATTTTAGATTAGATGGTGAATAGTGGTTCTAAAAAAGCCCATTTCATATAGGCCTAATAAAAATATATATTTTTGACTGTTGTTTATCGATATAACATTCCGTTTTATAAGTTGAAATAATCTCATTTTTGATTTGTCTTATCGAAGGCTTTGCTCAAGCAACTTTGCTTTTGAAAATAGAGTATTTTACAAAAGTATAGAATTAATTGCTTTAGTGGCTGTTTATTATAATGAATACCAAAGATAATTATTTCATTAGTGAGGTTTAAATTAAAACCTGTGGTATCCACAATCCACATTTTGCAAGGATGACCAGATTTCTTTCACCAATGGACAGTTACAAAATAAATGTATAATAGTTTCGTTTTTTCCATCCCCAAATGAACATAAGGAATGATCTTTTAAACGCATTTTACAAAGAAGATAGTTCGTTGTAATAATTCTATTTAATATTTTATATCTTGGAAATATTTCAATTTCGTGTCCATGGTACAGTTATGTAGTGATACGTATATTTCATTAAGTTCATTTATCCATTTACGATGTGATTTCCACATGATATATTTTGAATTCTTAAGAATATCGTATAATCTGCGACAACCTTTTTTGTCTTCTAAGAGAGTTTTCATATGAAATGGAATGCAAGGTAGACATGGCTTAAATACATCCATTGTTAATTTTAATTCCAAATTTTGTTACAATATGTTGCTTTAAACCAAATAAATGTACCCTGGGAATTCAACAAATCACTGATTAATTTAATACCAGAATTCTTGCATAGAGAATAATTTAATAATTTAATAATTTAATTTCATCATTACACCAAATATACATTCTTAACAATTCATCTGCGGAATTTGGATGATGATGCTTTTAAAATATCCCCATGCATCTGTTACCTCTTGTCAAAAAACATTTTTTATATTGTTATTTTTTCTCTTTTGTGGGAGTTGCACCCACTTTTATTTCATTTCTCTTAGTTTAATAACATTTTTTCCCTTTTTTTCTACACATGAAATAATGACATACTGGTAATAAAGGCCATTGAATAATAATAATAATGATAGTAATGATAATAATAATATTAATGATAATGACACTTTCTTATAATTTAACATCCACTAAAGGTTAGTCCCTTTGAAGCTGCATTACTGGATTATCATCAGAACTATGTGCTATTCTACGAAGCCGTGTCATTTTAATGACATACAAAACAGATTGAGATCAACCATCCTTAAACCGCCGTGTGCTAATTTTGTCTGGTTTCTTTTGCCAGACAAAATTATAGAACAACGAGTTGATTTTAATAATAAAGTCTACAGAGGGGTGGTTTGGAATTGATAATATCATATGAATTAATTTGGGGAGTATGATTTAATAACCGTTATTTTCCCTATAACTGTCGGTTTTCTTTTTGACCACTTATTTACAAGACGCTCAATCGTTTCCAAATCTTTTTCGTAATTTACATTAACCATACGAGCCGCATTTAAAGAGAAATCCAATACCGGTACCGTACCTAGAATTGAAAAAAATACCTTTCCCTATCCATTTAAATTTTTGTCTAGTTTTTATTTTAATTTCACAATGTTTTTTACTACCTATCCAAACTATATTATTTTTTTCCTCATTTATTTTTAAGCCCGAAATTTTTTTCGAACAAGTCTAATGTATCTAAGGCTGCAGGCAATGACGTTTTCGAACCATCTAGCGCTAGTGTGGTATCATCTGCATATTGCGATATCTTATATTCTACCTCATTCAATTTAATTCTATTAATCTTCCTATTATTTTTGATTAAATTATTTAGGAGTTCAGAACATGACAAAAATATATACGGTACGGCGAGGGGTCACCCTGCCTACATCCACGTTTAATTTTAAATCGCTTAGACATGCTACCACTAATATTAATAGAAGGAAGCATTTCAGAATAGAATATTTTAACCCAGCGTTTTACTGAGGCCCCACAATTAAACATGTCTAAAGTTTTATAAATGAATTTATGGAAAACAGAATCAAACGCTTTTTCAATGTCCACTAACAGGAGCATCCCTGGAATATCAAATATATCAGTAACATTTATTAAGTCGCTTATCACTCTGACCTTTTTCTCCTATAAATCTTCTGGTATAAAGCCATTTTGCTCTCTGCTTATAAGGTGCTCTAAGACCATTTTAATCCTATTCGCAATACATGCAGAAGTCAATTTATAGGTACCGGTAATACTTAATGACGAGATAGGCGCACCTTGGTTTATTAGGTTTTTGAGCCCAACTGTTGTGTTTGTGTTAAATGACCTTGTTCGTATACATAATTAATCCGATTCTAACTAAGAAAGGACCAATAGCCTACCTACCCAAAAGAATTTAAAAAACTGCCGTAAATCCATCCTGTCCCGGACTCTTATTGTTAGTCATATTTTTAGCGTTCTTGCTATTTCAGAAGAGTGAAGCGGTCCCTCAATTTCATTTCTTTGCGTAACTGATAATTTGTTTAAATCTGTATCATCAAATAACGTTCCTAATAATAATGTGAAATCAAGGTTTTCATCTCTATTTGCGTATAACTTTTTATAGTATCTTTCCACATTTTCTACAATTTTATTATTAGCTGTTATTTCATTACCCCTCTCATTTATTAGTTTGTAAAAAATTCGTTTTCTCTAAATTCAAGAAAAAAGCTGTTGGGATTTTCCCATGTTCTATTCATTGCGTTTTAGATCTAAGCATGGCATTATGCGCCAGGGATCTACTAATTCCAATTCATCTATCATTTTCAAGACCCTTTCTCTTGCTTTCGAATTGTTTATTCTTACGTAATTTTTGCATCTTTTGCCGGGTTTCAGGTTAAGTTCCAATCCCCACAAATCATGGGCGTTGTTAAACGAATTAATAATTGTATCAATCTCGTCGTATGTTGGATTATCAATATTGGGTCTGTATATAGAAAGTAACGTAAACCGAATGGATTACAATGTGACGTCAAGTGCTAACCAATTTCCACACTTGTCCGTCTGAGTTGTGTGGATGGTGACATTCAATTTGTTTTAAAAAATAATTGCTACCACTCTGGAATTTGAAGTGCCATGGCTAAAGAAACAGAGATCCCCCAAAACGTCTTTCACATGTGATCTGTGTCTTTAGTTAGACGAACGTCCCGTAAACAAATTATGTCATGTTGTTTTTCCTGCAAGAAATGGAGTACATCAATTCTTTTTTTCCGATCCCAATTCCGCGGCAATTCATGGACACTATATTAATTACTGACATTTATAAAGAAGATTCTACTGTATGGCAGGAGGTACATAAAAAACACTATAACTAAGTAATACATGATTAGCCGTATAGGCTGTTCATATATGGTATAGTACCGTATGCAAATGAGCATGAGTGACCATCAGCTCTTGTGTGAAAACTACACATTTCATTTGAATAAGCATAAAGGGCATACCTTAAATATTTATAGTTTAGAACAATGTAAACTGGTAGATAACAAATATGAAAAAAAAAACAATTAACACTAATAATCATTATGTTAACGAGATATCAAAATAGGGGCAAAAACTGTATCAACCTTCTTTCTTTTTTTTTATATTAAATTTGTACATTTAAATTTGTACTGTACTTTAGGGTGCATTGTCCTATAAAAGGTGGGGGAAGAAAAAACAAAAAACAGACATAGAAAATAAAAAATAAATTTAAAAAAAATGCAAAATTTCAAAAATAACTTTTAAGATTCGATTCATGGAATCCTGAATCCTTCTTATTCAATTATAGACAATACATCCACTAGGTTTAGCATATACCAGTAGTACAGCACAATGTTATTATATATACATTTTAATCATTTTCGTCACTGTCCCGTTCAACTTCTAAATCAGCATACCTACGGTACTTAATTTCTTATTTGTTTTTCATGCGATTTTGTACTTTGTTCCGTTTCTTTCGTTTTCTTTGGATGCTTTTTTTTAGCGTTTCTTTTCCCTTGGTTTAATTTATCTGGAACTGCAGTAATAGTTTTCACTATACCTTGATCAGTAACAAACTTTAGTCGATCATCTGAAGCCAAGCACGAACTCCGTCCCTTCTCTTTTCTCTCAAAATGCCTGATAAGGCCCCTCGCCTTAATCGTTGTTAATAAAAATGACGTTCTTTTTAACTGTAGGTTTTTCTTTGGAGCGGTCTTCCTTACTTCTTCTTCAACTGTGTATTTATAGAAATAAGCTATAATAGGGCGATGTAGGCCTTGTTTAGGTGTCGCACCGATCCGATGAGCTCATTGAATATCATCTTTTTCGATTTGTATTCCCATTGATTTGTTCAATTTTTTTTCATAAGAACCAGTAAAATTTTGCCCAGGCTCAGTATTTTTTGCTGACTTTGAACAAAATTTTGTTCTTATTTTACACAATTTTCAAACACAGAAAATTATATTGAACAGTAGTATACTACTGTAAATAAAAATGGCCCCTGAAAAAAAAAAGTGTTTTTCTACTTTAAAAATAAATAATTAAAAAACCTCATTTGACATTTTACCTCAGCCTCAATTTGTTCTTAATTTGTTCTTAATTTTTAAGCAGTTTCAGCCTCAGTGTTCTTATAAAATGTGTTCTTATAATAATTTAAAAAAAGCAGTGTAATAAAATTTAGTGGCGTAGAAAAGTATTTTTTATTGGCGGGGGGATGATTGGCGTGTCAGTGTAAAGCTCCATTTTATCCCATACATAATCAAAATATTGGGGGGGGGGATGATACAATGGACCATCCCCCTTGTCAAATATTGGGTGGGGGAGGGATCCCCCCCTCTTGTCAAATATTGGGGGATATATCCCCCATTCCCCCGGGATCTACGCCTATGTCCGTGGTTTTACCTTGTTCCGAGCCTTCCGGGAATCCGGTAAACCTTAAGTTGTTACGACGTGCACGACCCTCAAAATCCTCGACTTCACCCTGTAGTGCTTTGACTTGCAATGCCATTGATTTGCGTATCCAAGAATTCCACATTCTCTGTAATGTCTACGCCCATTGATTCTATCTCCTTTTTTAATAACAGATTTTGTAGCTTTATTTAGGTCATTTCACTCTCCATACCACTTATCTTTTACAAAATATCATAGGTAGCTAACTTGATCTCATTGATTGACTTCGCTTAAATTTCTGCTTGACCGTCACAAGCCAACTGCCGCTGTTGTTCACACTACCACAAGTAAGGTTCATTGTTGACCAGGTGTTGCGGCCTGCTCGCTGGAATGCATTCTTGTGTTGAGGCTAGGACCGTTTGCTTTTTCAACAGACTTTTCATTCCAAATTTCCTCTAAATTGGCTTGATATTTACCTTTCCGTTTTGGTTGGGACATTGCCATGAAGGTAATAAAGTACATTAATTTGTTTATAAAATGAGAAAATCTTAGTTTGTGATCGATCAACGATTGCCCTCATTATCTTTATCAACGGCACAGGCAATGTTTAAGTACATTAAATCATTAATTACATTTAATTCTACTTACAAACATTCCAAGACGACATAGCATTTATGGCTAATATTGTTTAAAAACAAAAAGGCAACTGGACCAGTATAGGAACAATACGGTAATGGATTACATTTTAAGTGGGACGATGGGGGCCAAACAGAATTGTTATTTAAAGAATCATTCGCCGGCCGTAAAACCTTGAATTGAAGCCCTGGGCTTCTATATATTCGAGGCTACTTTTGCAAAGTAAAGAGGGGGCTTCTTTTCCAAATGAATGCTGTAAAATTTGGGAATAAACAATAAATAGGGCCACTGTAAGATCAACCTGTATCATAGAGTATTAACCGGCATTAAATCACCTAAACACTGTATAAACCAAGCATGTTTGAATTTATTTATTTTTCTTTGAAATTCATTACAGTTTATGTACTGTAATATCGTGAAAAGAAGCCCATGCTAACTTATAACTTAAAAATAAGCCCATGGGCTTCTTTTTCGAGATGGGCTTCTTTTTGAGGTTACTTTTGTAAACTAAAGAGGGGGATTTAATTCGAGATTGGCTTCTTCTCGAGAGATTTTACATATTCCTCCTGGATTAAAGGGCTTTCACCAAAATACAAATCTTATGCGTTGATTATCAAAGGCGTTTTATTATTCTTGCTCATTGTTTATTCAATAATTGATTTAAATAATTTTACATTACAATTATATTTTTTGCATCAGTTTTTTTTTTTTAGTTTTCTTTGTTTTGGTTTTATTTATTGATTTTTTTTTTTGGCTCATTGATTTTTTTAATCGTTTGTCGCTTATTTAAAAGTGAGTTTAAAATAAATATATAAACTTTTTTCTATGTCTCCAACTTACCAAGTATCTTTTGCCTCCAGGTCAGTCTTGTAGCTTCCCTTACGTTGTATGAGGCTGCTTTTTGTATTGAATATGGAAGTTTATTCCATAACTTTCCGCCAGCTACTCGTAGTGACATATTCATTTTTTTAAATATTTACTTTTGGTGTGGAAATTTAGTGGTTTAGATGTGTTTTAGGGGATAGATGTGTTTTCAACGAAAAAAAAAAGTTGTGTTTCAATAATGGCGTCAGGATTTTCTCCCAGAGGGGTGGGGAATATTTCCAATGGGAGCATAAAAGAGTCACGGAAGGAGTCTAATCATCACGGATTTGAAAAACTTATTTACTAGATTTTAGTTCGCATAATCTGAACAAATTATATAAGATTAATTCTCCCCTGACAACATGCAAGCACCCCTTTCACCACTCGATGAATCCGCCATTGTATCTGATCTTTTGATTGCCTTAAGCTATACATTAATGGTGAGCTACATCATCAAAATAAAGTTCAACAAATAAATATCCTCAATAAGTGTCTTTCATGCCCATAATATAGTCAAGATGTACCTATATATGGTCATGATGTGATGTAATGATAATATTTAAGTAAGTTACAAGTTTTTGTCAAAAAAACTTGATTGTCAGGACAGGACTTAACATAACATAACATTCACCCCACAAACCCCACCCCCTACAAACATACACACACACCCACACACCAAAAAACACTCATAAGAAATCGAAGGAACAATAAATTTATTATGAAAAAGTCTCTTTTATTTCCAGCTCGTCATTTTGGTGGCAAGCTTAAACTTCAAAGCAAAGGAGACACAACCATTTGTTATATACAATAAATAGTATTCTTAAAGACGAATGTTTCACTATAAAATTTATTTCATGATTTACTCATGCTAAATAAATGAAGCAAAGAAGAATATGATGAGTAAATTCACAGAATCATTAAGGATCGGAAACGGACGATA